GACCAACATGGAGAAAGCCCATCTCTACAAAAAATACAAAATTAGCTGGGTGTGGTGGCCCATGCCTATAATCCCACTCAAGAGGCTGAGGCAGGAGAATGGCTTGAACTCAGGAGGTTGAGGTTACAGTGAGCTGAGATCACGCCATTGCACTCCAGCCTGGGCAACAAAAGCAAAACTCTGTCTCAAAAATAAATAAATAAATAAAGAGAGAGAGAAAGAGAGAGAGAGAGAAAGAGCTTTCATATTTTTCCAAGAAGACCTAGTTTTTGTTGTTGTTGTTTTAATTGGACAATTATATTAGAAAGCCAGATGTTTTTGGTAGATGTGCTCATTGTTACTGGGCTGGATCATGTTTAAAGAAATATTCACTCTGGCCAGGAACGGTGGCTCGCTCCTATAATCCCAGAACTTGGGGAGGCTGAGTTGGGTGGATCACAGGGCAGAACCAGCCTGGCCAACATGATGAAATTCTGTATCTACTGAAAATACCAAAATTATCTACGTGTGGTGGTGCGTGACTGTGATCCCAGCTACTCAGGAGCCTGAGGCAGGAGAATCGCTTGAACTCTGAAGGCGGAGATTGCAGTGAGCTGAGATCGCACCATTGCACTCCAGCCTGGATGACATAGTGAGACTCTATCCCAAGGGGAAAAAAAGAAAAGGAATATTCGCTCTGTCTGGATGAAGTGAGGCATGCATTGCCTCTTCATGTGCTCCCACTATATACCCAAATTTAACTATAAATGTTAGACGTTCTGGCTTGTAGTTGTGGCCATTTTCTTGTTTCACTAACAATGGATGTTTCTCTTTTAAAATTCTTTTTATTCTTGTCAGTGAGTTTTCTTGTAGAATTCGCTCTTCCCAAGCTTTACTTACATTTACCTTGGGACTTTGCAAGAAATGTAGGTTTTTAACTATAGTGTATATAAGCATATATCAAGAAAGCTCAAATTTACTCAGATATATAAAAAGCTGTAAGATCTGTATGTCATTTGCTTTGTTTTAATATGAAAACTTGCCTGCTTTATTCTTAGGGATGAGAAATCATTTTTATAGTAAGTAGATCTACTCTCTCTAACTGTTTGATAACTGGGGAAAGAAATTGAAGTGTTTCTAGCATATTTAACTTAACTCTAAACAAAGCCTGATCATTTTGAGCCTGTGACTCCTGTTGACTGTATCTTTGGTTCCAATGTTAGAGCTAAGTGATCTGTTTAAATCTTTACTGGGGACTTTTAACTGCCTATTTGTGTAATATCTATGTCATGTTTGCCCAATTTTATGCACCTGAACACTTTTATCTTAAATTTAGAATAAGAAAAAAGTAAATACAGTATTCAGCCTTAGGGGTTAATACAATGTTAATGAGTGTATTAGTCCTCTCCCTCCTCACTCCCATATCAATTGCAGCACATGGCCAATTCTGGATAGGTGAAGCCTCCAAGGAAATTAACTGAGCTAAGTGTTGGGGACAAACAGCCTTTCTGACTGCTCATCAAGGGATCCCCATCAGTCTTTGGAAGGTGACCTGGTTCCTAAAGATAGATACTCAAGGTAAAATTTGTTCTGTTTATAGTGAAAGACTTCCCTCAGGAAGGGACTCAGCTTGAATGAATTCACCTGCCTTGTGTGCATTGGTGTCTCCTGGAAAGCCCTGAAACTAGAAACGTTCTACTGAGTAAATGTAGGTTTAAAAGGAAAGATACATATATGTTTTAAAAAGCCTGCCCAGGATATTGACCCCAGCATTGCCATTTTAGAACAAATGCTTTAAAAGCTGCCATCATCTATTCAGAGTTCCCTTTTCACCTTGCCTTGATGGCTGAGTGTGCCCCATAGATGAGTCACGGCTACTCTTTTGTGTGTTGAGCCTCAGCTCAACAGAAACAAGCAGGTCCTCTGGGTATAGCTAAGGAGCTCTGATGAAGGCCCTCAGCCTCTCGGACAGAAGGATCATAGGCCGTGCCTACAGAAAGAGTGCCCAGACCTTCTGTATTCGTCCTTCCTAACTCAACCCCCATCTGTCTTTTTTTCTCCCTTGCATGGAACACACCCAATTTCCATCTCAGTCTTGTTTGTGTTTATTCACATCCCATAAATACTGTGATAATTCTTTACCAGATCTCTACCTGGAATGATAAGGCCCTGAAAAAAGGATAAGCAGATATGGCCACTCTTAACACAGACTCCAGAGCCTTTGGGGTGCTGGGAAGCATGGCCTGTAGAATTTGGGCCCTTGGACACCAGCAGAAACAGAATGTCACCTGCCTGTGGTTGCTCTGGTCGCTGCCAACTAATGAAAGGGCAGCGTGAAATCTTCCTGGGATGTTTTTTCTCCATTATGTGGGCCACGAACTGCTCTAACTGTGTGACCTCCCCTGAGATCAGAGGTCAGCTCCCACCCAAAGAGTGTCCTGGACCCTGCTGTTGCCAAGTGCTACATCCTCGGGATGGAGAGGCCTTCCTAATACCTCTTGAAAATATTCCCCAGAGGATCTTGGATTCATCCTAGAGCATCGTCTATGGTTCTTTGAATTGTGGAGAGACAGGAGAAGACAGGACAGAGCTTGCATTTGCCCTGGATCTGTTTCCTGGTAAAGACATATTATAAACCACTATCTCATTTTACTCCATCTTCTTTTTTTGGCCTCCAGGAGCCTGTGGGACAACATCTTCTCATCAGTAACAATGGCTGGCAATGGATGGGATCCTTCCCAGGACTGGAGTCGGTGGAGAGCAATTTGTCTCCTCAAGAACATGTATTGAAATCTAAGGCAGAGGCATATAGTTTTCAAAAGTCCCCAGGTGATTTTGATGTATGCACCTTTTCAACTCTTCATTACTTTCATCATTTTAAGTTCCTCACTGGCACTTCTTACATTAATCTGATAAGTAAAATTTCGATAATAAACTTTTCACAAAGCTGTTCATTAATCTGGATACTAAATTGAAGGGGAGAAGTGAATCTTTTATCCATCTCCTCTCTCTTGCTGATTTGTTTGCAGAATGCAGGTGCACTGCATTTTATTTTATAAACAAATAACAATTTATTTATTTGAAAAAATACTACCTAGATAAAATATGTCTAATGAAGCTGCCAGAGTGTGGTGGGGCCAGAGCTGTACACATTTATACATTGGTGAGCTCTTAAATCGTGGGTGAGGAACAACATAGTTCCGTTCACAGAAAACTGAAGTAGTAATTGTCCTCACTGGCTGTATGAAAAGTAAGAACAGTGCTGTTATACAGAAAGATGAATTATATTAGTCTCTGCTTAGAGAGCTCCTATGCTAAGTTAAACCTGATATGAGGCCCAAGGGGATTGCATCATTTAAGAAAAAAAAAAACACAACAGGTAAGCTCTGACGATTCTTATCCTCTTTTTGTTTTTCCTTTATTGCCATCTCTCCTGGGAAGAAGGGTATATATAATATTTCTCAGAGGTTCATTCCTGGCACAAGGGTCTAAGCCAGGCCATAAGCTCATGTTAGTTTCATTCAATTCCTGGGAATTCATCGGTCCCTCTGTCTCACTTGGTCCTGTAACTGGCTTCTGAGGGAATCCCCAGTGAGGTTTGAGCTACCCAGTCCTGAGAGCTTGGGCAAGTAATTTTCCATTTCTAGGCCTCAGTTGTCTTAATTCAATGTCAAGAAATTTTGGTTAAGAAATGAAGAGCTCAAGAAAGAAATCAGATTTCTTTTTTTTTTTTTAATAAAAGAGCTCTTCTAGAGCTATCAGTCAATGGTTCTAAGACAACTGCGTCCTTTCTGAGGTCTTTAGCACAAAGCCACTAGAGTTACTCTTTCATTTCAAGAGAGGATCCAGCGACATTGTCCCTGACCTCACCCTTCCTGAAAACCACTTGGCAACTCAACACCAAGAGCTTCTGGTTCTCAGCAACCTGTTTTAATTCTTTATGTTCTTCACTGTTGTACTTCCGCATTTCTAGGGATCCTGATTTCCAAGTTAAAGAATCATAAGATGAGCCGGGCACGGGGCTCACACCTATAATCCCAGCACTTTGGGAGGCCGAGGAGGGTGGATCGCGAGGTCAAGAGATCGAGACCATCTGGTCAACATGGTGAAACCCCGTCTCTACTAAAAATACAAAAATTAGCTGGGCTTGGTGGCGCATGCCTGTAGTCCCAGCTACTCGGGAGGCTAAGGCAGGAGAATTGCTTGAACCCGGGAGGCGGAGGTTGCGGTGAGCTGAGATCACGCCATTGCACTCCAGCCTGGGTAACAAGAGCAAAACTCCGTCTCAAAAAAAGAAAAAAAAAAAAAAAAAGAATCATAAGATGATTACAGCTGGAAGTTGGGCCAAAGTGAAGGTAAGCAGCCACATGCTTGGTCTTTTCTATGCTCAAGGCTGCCTCCCTTTAGTTGACCGTATCTTCACCCGGATTTACCAGATTTGAAGTCAAATTCCCCTCTAGTCTCTAAAGAATTTAAGTTGGACATCACAGAGCTGTGGATGCTCTCTTGCTCCAGCTCAGCAGCAGCGGAGGCAGCAGGAGTCTGCAGCACAGAACAGACGCGTTCTCCCAGTAGCTGCCACAGCCTGGCTTGGGACCAGGAACTGAATGTGAGCTCTAGCAGTTCTATGACACTATGGATCTGAAATGCTATGACTGTGTTTTCCATGGCATATGAAATTACACTCTAGCTCACCAGCTCACCAACTGGTCTGAGATTTCCCTGGGCAAAGGAGGTTACTTCTCATTCAGTCCCCTATTAGGAGCACAGTAGTACTATAATAAAATGAACAAATGAGCTTGGTTTCAGAAGGCCTAGATCTGAACCTTGGATGAGCCACTTAGGGGTTTCATAAACTTCAGCTTCCTGATCTGATCTGCCTTGGACGACACACAGACCAAGCAGTTTGTGCTAGGCACATGGAAAGTGATGGTCACAGCACATCAGGGGGTGCGGAGGCAGCAGGCTCTGCCTTTCCCTGTCCCTCGTTTCTCCTTGACTTCCTAGGGTGTCGTAGTTACCATAGCACATGATGTGGAAAATGCTAGAAGAGCAGTTGGGTGAAGCAGGGCCACCAAATAAGTCCTCACCTCCTGGAGACCTCTGGAAACCCAGGTGAGTGTGGTCTGGGGTTGGGTCTCCCACCCTGCTTGCTCCACTCAGTCCTACCCAGTGCTGCCTCTGAGGCCTAGCTGCGGGCCCTGAAACTCCCCCTTGGGGCTTCCCTTCTCCCCAGCCCTTGCTCTTGGCACCTTGCCTGGCTACCATGGAAACAGGGTCCAGGGTAACAAAGGAGGGAGCTGGGTCCTGTTCCCTCCCAGTCCTGCCGATGAGGATTCTCAGACTATAGAGACTGAATTGTCCTGCACCTACCTGTGTTCTTTCTGTGTTTTCACTGAGGCTGAGCTCCAACTGCCACCTCTACCAGCAGGACCATGTGTACCAGTCTGACCACTTGTGAGTGGAAGAAAGTCTTCTATGAGAAGATGGAGGTGGCAAAGCCAGCAGACAGCTGGGAGCTCATCATCGACCCCAGCCTCAAGCCCAATGAGCTGGCCCCTGGCTGGAAGCAGTACCTGGAGCAGCACGCCTCAGGCAGGTGAGATGCCCAGTGGGGAGGGGCCTTGCAGGCAGCCCCTGGGTCACAGCTGTGGGGTACTTTCCAAGGAGAGACAGAGCCCAGTCCTGGGGGCAGGCTCATTCTGGTGTCAGCTCAGATAAGGAAACAGACAAAAAACAGCCGGCTGGGTCACAGAGATCTTGATTTTAATCCTAGCCATACCACCAACTCCCTGGGTGATTCTGGGCAAGTTATGTTCCATCTTTGGGTCTTAGTTGTCCACATTAAATGAAGAGCTGTAGTATCTCCTATGTCCCTGCAATCTCTGACATTTAAAGAATGAGTTGGAACTGAAGGAAGGAGTCTATGAAGTCCATTGGAGAAAGCCTTATTCTAGGAATGGGGGGGTATGGGGGTGTACAGCTATGCTCTGATCCTAGATCTGTTTAGTGAATTAATCCAATTTGATCTGAATACAGAAACATTTATTGACCACCTGCTATGTGCTACAAACTGGCTTTATGTAGCTAACTAGCCCTGTAAACTTGGCCAGTCCCTTTCCCTTTCTGGTTCACAGTTTCTATATTTACAAAATGTGGGGGTTGGTCTTAGATAATTGATCAAATCTATTCTAGCTCTATTATCTATGTACCTGTGATAAAAAGATTTAACTTTGAGCAAAAGTTTGTTTAGTGACTTAGAACCCAAGGTCCCACTCTTTGTAGGAATTGCACATCTAACATGGTGCAAAGAGTCCTTGAGGCAAAGGGGAAAAGGCCATCTAAAGTCCACATGCCTTTCCTCCTTTTAGATCATGATTTGGGACAGGGACTACAGAAATCCCTGGCTAGACTACCTCAAGTCCATCTGCAGGGTCTGTGCAGGCCTTTTCCCTATGTCTTTGGATTCAAGAGAGGCCAGTATCGGCTATCCTCTGGAGATATAGCCAGAACATGGACACAAAGGCTGGGTTGCTCACACGTGTATGTGTGTGAAGCTTCTCATGGTGCAGAATGTTGCTGAAGGTGGGAATAGAGGAGGCAAGATATGGGCAGGGAGCTTACATTTGTGCTCTTGCCCCAAGACCTGCAATTCTTAGGGTAAACCTGTCTTGTGAACAAAAGATAGAAAGGCAGAGGTTGGCTGATTCAGGTCAATTCCATCAACTCAGGAAGCATCTGTTGGGTACCTGTTATGTCCTGGGCGCTGGCTCTGCCTCTGACTAGCTGTGTGTACATGGATGCCTCTCTTACTGTCTGTGCCTCAGTCTCTTCTCAGTGAAATAACGGGCTGACTAGATGCTTCTTAAGCTCTCCTGCCCTCAGATCTGATATTTTTAGAACATAAGATGTGACGCCTGGCTTCATGGAGGGGAAGCAACTCTGGGTTGGATGTAAAAAGGTGTAGAAGGAGACTGAAAACAAAGCATTTGAACCACCTGGCAGGAGGGGGGCAGAGGCCTGGAAATCTGAGTGCCCAGAATCTGGAGTTTAGGGGCTGAGATCCACAAGCTCATGTCTCCTCTTGCCTTGGGGTCAGCTTCTCTTACTCCTGGCTGGTGACTTGTGGCTCCCAGGTAGCCTCACAAAGGGCTAAAGAACTGCTGCCTATGAGCTCATTTGTGCACGGGCTCACTCTGTCTCTAAACCAGCAGATGCCCTGCAGCTCTCGCCCAGCACTGGGGGCAGGGGAGCCTCTATTGGCTCAGCACCAATTACGTTCCTCTGGCCTGCCAACCCTACCACCTTGGGCCATTCTGGGTATTGTTCTGTCCTCGTGTGATCAGGCTCTCAGGGGTCAGGGACTGTCTTGGCCTCATCTTTATCCCACATCCTGGGTTGAGTGGTGCTTAGCATATGGTAGGTGTTGAGTGGTGTATGTCGGATTGACTTGAGTTTCTCATCAGAAGTCCTTCAAGGCCATCAAACAATGGATCCAGACAGGGCCAGGGATGAGGGCAGGGTCAGCCCAGTGGACACCTGACTGCCTCTGAAGCCTCTGTAACAGAGGCCTGGAAGAGGCTCATCTCAGTGATGGAAAGAACTGCCCTGGAGGTAAGGAGTGCTGTGTCACTGAAGGTGTGCAAGCAGTGCTGGGGGTGGAGTGAGTGGGGCTTGCCTAGATGAGCCCCAGGCTACCACCCTCCACACTTCCTGAGGCTGGGACTCTAGAAAGCCCAGGTTAGGCCAAGTGGCTTGTGTACATGTAAGAGAGAGAAATAGAGAGAAAGTATGTGTATGTGTGCGTGTGTGTGTGCGTGTGTGTGTGTGTGTGTGTGTGAGGAGTGGCATTGGGGATGAGTATCCATTTTCCAGTCCCCACTGCATGGCTAGATTGAAATCTAGAGATGACTTGTTAAGAGTCTAGGGAGTGTTCTTTGTGAAGATGTAGATGCAGCAACTAAACAATGGTTCCTCCCAAAGCCAGTTCATCCTTCCCATCTACCGGTCTGTCCATCCCAGCATTCTCAGTGGTTTACTGAGGACCTACAGTGTTCCAGAGTCTGTGCTTGGCACTGCTAGAGGCATCTCTTCTCCCCAGAGTAAGCAAGATGCACAAGTTAGATGGTGCAGGTCATCCTTCTTATCAGAATCACAGGAGGTCACAGAGAAAGGACTCTTTTTTTTATTTTTTTAGGTGGAGTCTCACTCTGTTGCTCAGGCTGGAGGGCAATGGCATGATCTTGGCTCACCACAACCTCCACCTCCCAGGTTCAAGTGATTCTCCTGCCTCAGCATCCTGAGTAGCTTGGAGCACAGGCATGTGCCACCACATCTGGCTAATTTTTGTATTTTTAGTAGAAACTGGGTTTCACTATGTTGGCCAGGCTGGTCTCGAACTCCTGACCTTGTGATCCACTCACCTCAGCCTCCCAAAGTGCTGGGATTACCGGCCTGAGCCACAGTGCCCAGCAGAGGAAGGACCCTTATTGGACACCAACACACTGCATTTCACAGATGAGCAATGAAGCCGAGACAGGGGAATGACCCTATACAGTGCCCAGGTGCCAACCCTGAGTGCATTGGGCTTGGGAGCAGCTGAGACTGCAGGAGGCAAGCTCTAAAGCACTGCTGGGTACCAGATGGCTCCGGCACTGGCTCCTGAGGATGCTACTCGGGTCCCAGGGGTGCTCAGCAGGAGGAAGCGATAGCAGGCTGAGCTTGGAGTGCTGATGAATCCACAAGGCAGTAAACACTCTGCCTCCATCTCTAAGCAAGGGCACACAGGCCTTCCCTGCCCCACCCCCAGAGCTCCTCAGGGCAGGCTGTGGCTGGGATGCCCACCTTCTGCACCTCCTCCTCCTCCCTGCAGGTTCCACTGCTCCTGGTGCTGGCACACCTGGCAGTCTACCCACGTGGTCATCCTCTTCCATATGCACCTGGACCACTCCCGGCGGATGGGCTCGGTGCGTATGCGCGTCTTCAAGCAGCTGTGCTATGAGTGCGGCACAGCGCGGCTGGACGATTCCAGCATGCTGGAGGAGAACATCGAGGGCCTGGTGGACAACCTCATCACCAGCCTGCGCGACCAGTGCTACGGCGAGGACGGCGGCCAGTACCGCATCCACGTGGCCAGCCGCCCGGACAGCGGGCCGCATCGTGCAGAGTTCTGCGAGGCCTGCCAGGAGGGCATCGCGCACTGGAAGCCCAGCGAGAAGCTGCCGGAGGAGGAGGCGACCACCGACACCTTCTCGGAAGCCTCCAGGCCGAGGGCCCAGGCGGGATCCGGCTACAACTTCTTGTCTCTTCGCTGGTGCCTCTTCTGGGCCTCTCTCTGCCTGCTCCTTGGCTACCTGCAGTTCTCCTTCCGCAGCTCTGCCTTCCTTTAGTGGAGCTGGTTCGGGGTGGGAGAGGGCACATGGGGTTGAGAGAGGAGGACACAGGCTGGTCTCGATCCTGCTACAGATTCAACATGTGACTGGACAAGCCGGTCACCTCTCTGGGCCTCAGTTTATTCATCTGCGGAATGAGGGGTTTACATTAGAAGATATGTAATGATTCTTTCATTGGAATTGACAATAATGGGGGAAGGGGAAAAGGGTGAATGTAATAAAGGTTTTAGAACTTGCCAGGATTGGTGCTGGTACTGAGTCAATAGGGAGGGACCTGCTTCCTTTCCCTCCTCCACCTCCAACTCTACACCCCCTTTTGCTTCGTTTCCATCTATCATCCCCCATTATGACCCCATTACGTTCTGTCTTAACCCTGCCTCATCCTTAAGCTCATGTTCAGCTGCCCCTGCCCATCCTGCCTTGCTTCCTTTTCGAGAGGGCCGTGGACCCGTTCAACACTTAGGAACGAGGTACCTGGTCTTCTCCTGGAGAGCCTGCTTCCACTGTTCTGAAACAACTTTTTTACTCTGCTGCTAGGGGCTGCTTGACGGGAATTGTCTAGATTTTCACTGTCCAATGTGTTGGCCACTAGCCATATATGGCTATTTCAACTTAATTAAAATGAAATAACGTTAACATTCAGTTCCTCAGTCGCGCCAGCCACATATCAAATGCGCAGTACCCATATGTGATTAGTGGCTAACATATTGCAATGTACAGATATAGAACGTCATAATGGAAATTTCTGTTGCTGAACTTTAGTCCAGAGCTTGAAATTTCCACTTAAATGTATGGGGACTTA